GAACAAAAACACACAGACACAATGAATCGTCGACTCCCAGGAAAATATTACAAAATATGGAAGGGAAGACAAAAAAAACAGAAAGTATGGGAAAATATGGGGGATCCTGTTATTTGTGTGGATTTTTTTGTGTGTTCCAGGATCCCTTCAGAGAGGTCGAGCGCCAGGACCCCCGAGAGCTCCCTCGACCCCCCCCCGGGGTACTGTTGCTCGGGGAGCTCGGGGCTTCGGGCCCCTCCCCTCCTTCTATCGGAGGTTGATAGACCTCCTATCCTGACACGTCGATCAGTGAGTTGTCCGTTTTCGGTTCTCGAGAGGGCGCCGCTGCCGCCATTTTCCAGGCTTGCGCCCGCCAGGTTTGGGCCTCAGGTCGTTTTCACTAAACCGCGTTTTGCTAAAGGGGGTTCTGTCCATCCCCGATTCTGGAGGAGCATCCTGTAGAACACTCCTCCAGAGGACTTTCCTGCAGAGGGCTCCACAGAAGGTCTCGTGCAGAGCACTCCGCACGAGATCTCCTCGACTTCTGGCATGCTCCTCCATCTAGAGGGCTTTGCCCCGACTGGCCCCCGAAAAACGCTGCCCCTCACTGGGCCCCCCCTCCCCGTCTCCTCCCTGTGCGCGCGCTGCTCCTGGCCGCCACCCCTCGGGCCCTGCGAGGCGACCCCCCCCCCCCCCCAACGCTGCCCCTGCCTGGCCTGCCGGGGCGTACACGCTTCCGCCGCTTTCGTCAAGCAGCGGCGAAGCGCCTGGCTCGCCTCTCCTCGACTTCTGGCATGCTCCTCCATCCAGAGGGCTCTGTTCAGGAGGGAAAGAAACACACAGACACAATTAATCGTCGAGTCCCCAGAAAATATGGGAAAATATGGGAATTGGGCGGGAAGACAAAAACCCAGAAAATATGGGAAAATATAGGGAATCATTTTATTTGTGTGTATTTATTTGTGTGTCCCAGAGCCCCTTCATCTGTAGAAGACCTCGTGCAGAGGACTTCCGTGCACCCGCGGCCCCGCAGGAGCTGCCTCCCTTTCTCGCCCGGCGGCCCTCCCCCGGCCGCCCGCCCGGGCGGGTGCCGCCCCTGGCCGGCGCCCCTCGCCCTGCCCCCGGGCATCGCTCGCGGACGTGTGCGTTTTTCCTTGTGCGTTGTTCCTTCGGCGAGGAGCTCCTCGCCGAAGGAACAACGCAAGTGATCAAGGATGCTCCTAGGAGCATCCTTGATCACTTGTCGGGGGAGCGCAAGACCCGGGTTTGCCAGGACTCGGGTTCGCCATCGTTTTTTGACGGCCGCGCCTCGGATTTTGACGAGGAGGAGTTTCGCTGGATGTCTGCAGCGGGAGGCCTCGTCAAAATGCAGGCTCGGCCTCGTCATTTTGTTTGACGACCTCGTCGGGGATTTCCGAGTCCCCTGTACCCAGGTCTTACGTCCCCCTGAACTTGGCGAAACAACCACGCACGAAACCGAAACAAAAACACAGGGAATGGACGTCCGAGCGATGGCCAGTGCCGCGGCGGCCCCCCTTGGGGCTCAGAGGGGGGGGCGCGCCTCAAGAGGCCATCTGCTTTCCGTCAGGGCCTCCGGGGTTTCTTTGCTGCGCGGTGGCTTCCCACAGCCGTGGAAGCAGCCGCGGCGTTCAGGGCGCTCCTGGGCTTGCCCTCAGGGTGCACCTCGCGCGCGGGTTTTCAGGGTTGGGCTTCTTGCGAGGGTTTCTTGCGGCCGCGCCCACACTGTACTCCAGATTTCGTAATTAAATGGAGGGGGTCTGGACCCTCCAAGACAAGCCATTTCAGACCTCCCCCGTGGGAGATCCCTCCAAAACATCGTCCCCGGACCCCCCCAGGCCCTCCAAGATAGCCTGGAAGAGACCCCCCCCCGAAATGAGACCCCCCTCCCTTTATTACGAGATCTGGAGTACTTCGTCACGGATGCAGGGCTGCGCGCCGCCGGCGCGCCGGCGGAGGCAAGGCGGGGCTCTCTTGTCCCAATCAGCACGCCCGCCTCCCGGGCGGCCCCCACCCGAAGACACTCCGCTTGTGCGCCTCGGGGCACAGTGGCCGCCTGGGATCAGGAGGGGAAAAAACACACAGACACAATTAATCGTCGATCCCCAGGAAAATATGCGAAAATATGGGAATTGGGGGGGAAGACAAAAACCCAGAAAATATGGGAAAATATGGGGAATATTTTTATTTGTGTGTATTTATTTGTGTGTTCTGGGGCCCCTTTATGGGAGACCAGCTCGGCCGCCGGGAGGCCGAGGGAAAAACGCCAGAGAGCAGTCTCAGAGGGGGGGGGGGGGCGGGTTTCGAGGGAGGCGCGCCTCCCGGGGGAGGGGGGGGGAGCCTTCGAAAATTTTAGCACACTTCCCAGACAGCAAGCGAGCATCCAAGCACGCCCACTCCGTGCAGGCTCGGTGGCGAATCTACAGATGCGTATGTACATACGGTCGGAGCGAGGTATAAGGTCAAGGTCGGTTCGGGGAGGGTAACTTGATGTTCTCCGTGTGTGCTGGGTGTTGTGGTGCATCCTGGGGGAGGGTGCCCTCGAGCGTTCTCTTCGGTTTGGCCGGCAGAGGGTCTCGCGTTCCTGCATGATGTTATTCTGTCTCGGCCTTACAAGCATATATATATATATACACACAAACATTGTTATATACCAGCAACAAGAGAGAGAGAGAGAGAGAGAGAGAGACAGGGCAGCCAGAGAAAAGTGGCAAGGAGGACGGACGGGAGGGAGGCAGGAGAACAGGAGTAGGCCTAGACGGGGAGGGAGTGGAGGGACACCGGGAGAGGGAGAGAGAGGTGCGGACAAAGGCGGGCCGATTTGCGGGCGCACGTGGCCGGAGGCCCGGGTGTGGCGGGAGGCGTGGACCAGGGCTGGACCTAAACGCTGTTTTGCCGGACTTCGGCTGTGTTTTATTTTTCTTTTCGACAAAGAGGTACAGGAAACCAGGTAGAGCAAAACGGAGAGCAAAACGAAAACGAAAAACAGCGTTTAGGTCCAGCCCTGGCGTGGACCAAGATGGGGAGGGAAGGAGGGAGTGTGATGCAGGAGAGGTTTGGGAGGTGGTCGACTATAGCCCTGCAATGGGCGGCGCTCAGGGGCCAGGGCCAGAAAGGGCGGGATGTCTAGGAAGGTTCCAATCAGGAGGGGAAAAAACACAGACACAGTTCATCGTCGATTCCCCAGAAAATATGGGAAAATATGGGCAGTGGGGGGGAAGACAAAAACCCAGAAAATATAGGAGAACATGGGGGATATTTTTATTTGTGTGTATTTATTTGTGTGTCCCAGGGCCCCTTCATCCAAGGGCACTCCGGTGACCTCTGCGGATAAGAGTGGCCTTTCGCCGGAGTGACCTCTGCTGCGGTATCGTTTAACCGATCCCCATCCCCATCGCCACCCCCACCAAATTACCAGCCCGGTTGGGGATACGCCCCCCCGAAGCCCTAAGGGAACCACCTATATCCCCGTCTAGGCGAGTAAATCGGTCAGTGGGGCCCAGGCCACGCCGCTGAGGGTTGGGGATCGGTGAAACGATTCGGAGGTGGATCGACCTCCTACCCTGACACGTCGATTCAGGAATTTGCCGTTTTCGGTTCGCGAGAGGGCGACGCGGCCGTTATTTTTGCGGGTCCAGGTCCGTCGGTTTCGGTCCCAGGCCGTTTTTACGAAGGGGAGGTCTACTAAAGGGGAGTCTGTCCACTGCCGAACGATGCCCACCGCTGCGGGCGGGAATGCCGCCGAGCGAAGCTGCTCGAGTCCAGCCCGCATCCCAAGGCCTCACCAGAAAGGTCGGAGTTCCTCTCGTTCGTGGGCATTTGCCAGGGACGCCTGTTCCCCTCCCTCTCTTCCCTTCTTTGCTCTGCCCGTTTCCACTCCTTCCTCCCACTCCCCCTCCGTCGTCTCAGCCTGGAGATACGTTGTGTTGTGGAGCGTGGGCAAAGCATGGAATGATAGGCGCCTTTGTGGCCTTGTTCGAGGTCTGCGAGAGGTTCGAGCGGAACCGAGGATACAGGTCTGGAGCGTTCTCGGCCCTTCTGCGTTTCGTGAGATCTCCAGCGGCCTCTGAACAGGGACGAGGGACACCGACGCGAGGGCGTGGAGACGGGGAAGGAGACTAAAGGGAGAGGGAGGGAGGGAGGGAGGAGAGGTGCAAAGAGGGTGCAAAGAGGGAGGAGAGGTGCAAAGAGGGTGCAAAGAGGGAGGAGGAGAGGTGCAAAGAAGGAGGAGAGGCATCGCTCAGACGAGTGCAGTTTTTTCCCGGCGAGGACCATCGCGGCGCACCCTCTCTCATCGAGCAAAAAAAAGCACGCACGGAGCCGAAAAACACGCACGGGGGATGGACGTCCGAGCCACGGCGAGGTGGAGGCAAAGGATGCGATGCCTCCTTGGCCCCGGCAGCGTTTGGGGGGGGACGTGGGCGGAGACCCGCGCCGTGCGTGCCCGGATGCCGCGGCAGGTTCTCTTGCGGGGCGGGGCTGCGCGTGGCAGCGCGGCCCCCTCTCGGCTCTTCCTCGGCCTCCTCTCCCCGAAGCCTCTCCCCATCGCTCCCATCCCGCCCTGCCTGCTCCTCTCCGCCCTCGTGTCCGCCTTCTCCCCCATTCCCCTCCCCCTTCCCGCCCTCGGCCGCCATCCCCTGTCTCGCTCTCTCTGTCTCTCTCTCTCTCTCTCTCTCTCTCTGTATCGTCATGCCTCCTCCATCTCCGGGCCTCCCCCCATCGCCCCCCCCCCAACCCATTCCTCGTAGCATCTCTCGCTTCCCCTCATCCTCCTCAGTCGCTTCCCCCCCCCCTCGACTTGTCTCCTCACAGTCTCTCCAGTGTTTCCGTGTTGACGCGGGGCCGATGTTCTGTCGCGATTGCCGCATGCCGTGGGCGTCCACGGGCTGTTTCAGTTACGCCCACCGTCAGGGCTGTCACTCGGTCACGCGTGCTCCCCCCGTCCCTCCCCCTCATCTCCATCTGTACCTACTCTCGCCTCGGCGCAAGAGCAGTGATGCCAGGACGGTCATTATCAGGCGCAACTTCCTCCACTACATCAAGAAGTTCCAGCCCCGGCCTTGAGGAGGAGGATGATGATGATTCAGTGATGACGGTCCTGTGTCCTGGACGGCTGGGCAGAAGTTTTGATTCTTCCGCAACATGTTGGTTTTCGATGCGTTTCATTCGCAGCCGCCAGGTGGCAGGCAGTGGGCTCATGAGCGACCGCATTGGCGCAATGCTGAAGTGGAGCACCCTAGTTCTGGAGCTGTCCCGGCGGTGGCAGCAGACCAAGCTGCCTCGAGCCACCAGGTGTACCGGGCTTTTCCCCGAACGGCGAATGCGATTAGCCTTGTGCATTCCGAGAGCCCGCTTCTTGTCAGCTCGAGGCAAATCCCGATCCTTGTGTTTGGCATCACCTCACCTCGATGGCGATCTGGAGGGTTCCCTCAGCTTCTGAGGGCACATCCCTAAGATTGTCCTCGCCTTTTGCTCGCCCATCTCAGGGATAGGCATAAGCTCGAGGCTGGTTAGCTCTGTGGAGGACGATCAACGGAGAGGAAGCATGTTGCCAACTACTTTCCAGATGTTCAGAACATGTGCTAAAACTGTTCAACGATGCACGAGATATGTTTTGAACACTCTCATGACATTTTTCCTACATGTTGGACACATCTTGAATTCGATGATAGCACTGTTATCAGGAGGAGAAAAAACACACAGACACAATTAATCGGCGATTCCCAGAAAATATTGGAAAATATGGGAAGTGGGGGGGAAGACAGAAATCCAATAAATATCGGAAAATATGGGGAATCATTTTATTTGTGTGTATTTATTTGTGTGTCCTGGGGCCCCTTCATGTTAGAGTGCCCATTGCCATGGCACCCACGCGGTCGGCTTCTGGCCCCTGGACTGCGACGCGCGCGCCCCCCGCGCGTTTGCGCTCCTGTGGCGCCGGCTCGGGCGTGGGGCGGCCGGGAGGGGGGCGTCCAGGAGGGGGAGGAGGAGGAGGAGGAGGAGGAGGAGGAGAGGAGGAGGAGGGGGAGGAGGAGGAGGAGGAGGAGGAGGAGGGAGGAGGAGGAGGAGGAGGAGGAGGAAGAAGAAGAAGAAGGAGGAGGAGGAGGAGGAGGAGGAGGAGGAGGAGGAAGAGGAGGAGGAGGAGGAGGAGGAGGAGCGCGCTCCGTGCTCGCGTGCTCGCGCGCGTGCCGCCCCTGTGGCGTGCTCGCGCTGCCCCGCGCGGTGCCGGCTGCCCGCGGGGGCCCGGGCTGTGCGAGGGCGCGGCGGGCACGGCGCGCGCGCGCCGTGCCCCCCCGCGCGCCGCCCGCGCGCCGTGCGCGCCGTGCGCCGTGCGCGCCGTGCCCGCGTGGGCTTTTGCGCAGCGGGCGGAGAAGGGGCTTCTCGAACGTGTTTTTTGCCCGCCCCCCCCCCCCCTAAAACTCAAAAATATGGGAAACTATGGGAAGTGGGGGGGAAGACAAAAAAAGCCCAGAAAGTATGTGTAAAAGATTGGGGATCCTGCTATTTGTGTGTATTTGTTTGTGTGTTCCAGGGTCCCTTCAGAGAGGTCGAGCGCCAGGACCCCCGAGAGCGCCCCCCCCCCCAGGGTACTGCTGCTCGGGGAGCTCGGGGCTTCGGGCCCCTCCCCTCCTTGTATCGGGGGTGGACAGAACCCCCAACAGTGACACGTCGATTAGTGAATTGTCCGTTGTCGGTCCTCGAGAGGGCGCCGTGGCGTTCTTTTCCAGGCCTGCGCCCGCCAGGTTTGGGTCTCAGGTCGTTTCCACTGAACCACGTTTTGCTAAAGGGGGGTCTGTGCATCCCCTCAAAACGCTGCCCCTGACTGGGCCCCTCCCCTCCCCGTCTCCTCCCTGTGCGCGCGCGGCCCCCGGCCGCCACCCCTCGGGCCCTGCGAGGCGCCCCCCCCCAACGCTGCCCCTTCCTGGCCTGCGGGGGCGTACACGTTTCCGCCGCTTTCGTCAAGCAGCGGCGAAGCGTCCTGGCTCGCCTGTAGCCCTACCAAACAATGTTCTAAGAACCTCTTGTGGTTTCCACGAAATGTTCTCAGAACATTTCTGGCGGAGTCTGTCTTGTGTTATCACATCGGGTTTATGTTCTAAGAACTCTTTTTGCCCTTAGAACATTTCTGTGTTCTAAGAACATGTCGTGGTAGGACTCTAGACATGCTGGGACGGTCGGTCCCTGCTCAAGTATAGCACTTTTCCGTCGCTTTCGAAAGTTCTTTCATTCTGGTGGGGGCAAGGTTATTCCATGTCGGATTGTTCTCGCTTGGGCCTCTTCCTGGCCACTGGGGGGCCAGGAACAAGTGGAAACGAGCACATTCAGAAATGAGCCCGATGAGAACTGAACGACGTGTGCAGTGGGGGCGCGCATCAAGAAGCCACATGCTTTTCGGCAGGGCATCTCGGGTTTCTCCGCTCCTCGCGCTGCGCGGTGGCTTCCCGCGGGCGCTGAAGAAGCTGCTGCTTTCGGGTTGCTCAGGCCGTTCCTCGGAGTTCGGTCGTAGAGTCTGTTCGTTGCCGAGGCTCGCCGTGGCCAGAAAACCTCCGTCGTCCTTGTTCATTGTTTCTTATGGTAGCACGATGGCCGTACGGTAGGTTCGTGTCGTGACGACCGGCGGCGACCTCGCCGCCGGCGTTCAGCGTTGAACGCCGCAGGCGACCCAGAATCGTTCGATGTGGAACGATTTGACGTTTCGGCAATGGCCGATCGTTCAAGGCTGAACGATCCCCGCGGTGTCAGAAGCCGACGCCGAAGTCGGCACGATACGAACCTGCCGTACGCCAGTGTAGTGTTCAGTCGGGCCTGTCCCTCTACAGGAGGCATATTCACAAGTAGTCAAGAACTAGTCTGGGGACGAGTTTCATTTGACTTTGGACTATTTTTGAGCATGCTTGAACTGTGCTTGATTCTCCTCCCAAATCCGCCTCTAGGGGGACATGCCCGACCCAAGCGCAGCGTGTCCAGTGCACGCCATCCCCGCAGGCGTGCAGCTGCCGCAGGGCCTGCGTTTCGCCACCGGGGTACAGTGCCATTTTTTTATATACGCTCCGCGTGTGGATCATGTACTAAAAATGCAGGGATTTTGTATTAAAAAGAACGAGGAGTTCATGCATACATTCATTCCTCAAGTAACCCTTTATTAAAGATCACATATGTTTAAACATCCCATGTATTAATTACGCTACCGAGGAACCCCACATACTTCATTTAAATATTCTGTGTTTGCTTACGTTTATAATATATGCGCAATTCTGCGTTCTGAGCCCTCGTCGCGAATGTTCCCCTATGTGTCATCCAACGCCATATTGCTTGAACCTCCTCCCTCTTCCTAGCCTTCTATCCCCCATCGAGGACAGATTCGAGCCAGCCAGCGGCCGCGGTGAGGGACCACCCCCTGCGCACGCTCTATGGTGTCGAGAAAGTGCCCTGGACGACCGTCGTGCATGGCGGCCGCGGTGAGGGACCACCCCCTGCGCACCCTCTATGGTATCGAGAAAATGCCACGCCTGCTATGCCCTGGACGACCGTCGTGCAAAGCGGCCGCGCTGAGGGACCACCCTCTGCGCACCCCCTGTGGTGTTGAGAAAGTGCCACTCCTGCCACGATCTGCGAGCGTGTCACGGACAGAGGCCGCGCTGAGGGACCAATCACCCTCTGCGCACCCCTTGTGGTGTCGAGAAAGTGCCACTCCTGCCACGATCTGCGAGCGTGTCACGGATAGAGGCCGCGCTGAGGGACCACCCTCTGCGCACCCCCTGTGGTGTCGAGAAAGTGCCACTCCTGCCACGATCTGCGAGCGTGTCACGGATAGAGGCCGCGCTGAGGGACCACCCTCTGCGCACCCCCTGTGGTGTCGAGAAAGTGCCACTCCTGCCACGATCTGCGAGCGTGTCACGGATAGAGGCCGCGCTGAGGGACCACCCTCTGCGCACCCCTTGTGGTGTCGAGAAAGTGCCACTCCTGCCACGATCTGCGAGCGTGTCACGGATAGAGGCCGCGCTGAGGGACCACCCCCTCGCACCCCCTGTGGTGTCGAGAAAGTGCCACTCCTGCCACGATCTGCGAGCGTGTCACGGATAGAGGCCGCGCTGAGGGACCACCTTTTGCGCACCCTTTGGGTGTCGAGAAAGTGCCACTCCTGCCACGATCTGCGAGCGTGTCACGGATAGAGGCCGCGCTGAGGGACCACCTTCTGCGCACCTTTTGTGGTGTCGAGAAAGTGCCACTCCTGCCACGATCTGCGAGCGTGTCACGGATAGAGGCAGCGCTGAGGGACCACCTTCTGCGCACCCCTTGTGGTGTCGAGAAAGTGCCACTCCTGCCACGATCTGCGAGCGTGTCACGGATAGAGGCCGCGTTGAGGGACCACCCTCTGCGCACCCCTTGTGATGTCGCGAAAGTGCCACTCCTGCCACGATCTGCGAGCGTGTCACGGATAGAGGCCGCGCTGAGGGACCACCCTCTGCGCACCCCCTGTGGTGTCGAGAAAGTGCCACTCCTGCCACGATCTGCGAGCGTGTCACGGATAGAGGCCGCGCTGAGGGACCACCTTCTGCGCACCCCCTGTGGTGTCGAGAAAGTGCCACTCCTGCCACGATCTGCGAGCGTGTCACGGATAGAGGCCGCGCTGAGGGACCACCCCTGCGCACCCCCTGTGGTGTCGAGAAAGTGCCACTCCTGCCACGATCTGCGAGCGTGTCACGGATAGAGGCCGCGCTGAGGGACCACCCTTTGCGCACCCCCTGTGGTGTCGAGAAAGTGCCACTCCTGCCACGATCTGCCAGCGTGTCACGGATAGAGGCCGCGCTGAGGGACCACCCTCTGCGCACCCCCTGTGGTGTCGAGAAAGTGCCACTCCTGCCACGATCTGCGAGCGTGTCACGGATAGAGGCCGCGCTGAGGGACCACCCTCTGCGCACCCCCTGTGGTGTCGAGAAAGTGCCACTCCTGCCACGATCTGCGAGCGTGTCACGGATAGAGGCCGCGCTGAGGGACCACCATTTGCGCACCCCTTGTGGTGTCGAGAAAGTGCCACTCCTGC